AAAGAATACAAGTTGTGTTAGCTTGGAGGATAAATTGAAAAAAAAAATTTTCCTCATTAAAACTGTAACACAAAGCACTAGCTCCATTTAAAATTGTCTTTCAGGATTTTTCCACCAAGGGGCTTAAACCACACCTAAAAATAATAACTCTCTAAGGGTTAATGCCTTTAAGAAAACAACTTCAATTCTACCGACTCAATAGCCACCAACCCCCACAACTGCACTGTAGAATCAATCACTAATCATTTTTCTGATAACAGGATAGCGTTCACTATTCAAAAGTTAGGAGATTAGATCCAGTTAATGAAACAAGTATCTCCCTTTATACTGATAATGTATATTAAAAGGCATGAGTAAACTAAGGCCTAAGTAATTAAAAACAGAGGCAAACTATTTAAAGAAACTTATGGTAAATTTTAAAAGAATGACTTTTGTAAAGAGAATTATCATCTAACTTATTTGTTTGATAAATCTTAATTAACAAAAAATAAAGGGAGGGCTTTATTTAAAATGGCATTTACCTTTACCCAGAATAGCTTCTGGTTTGCACAAAACGGATTAGATACCTATTACATAACACATAGCTAATACTGGGGCTAACCATATATCAAGATTAATGGAAAGAAGTTTATTATTAATTAAAGACTGAGCTAAATCACTTTTTTTAAGCTGAGTCATCCTGCCACCTGTTGGCAGCTCAGCGGTTGCTCAGCTCGGGCCAGGAATCAAACTGCTGTTGCTCAGAGCTCAAACTCTTGAGCGAGCTCTTAATCTACTGAGTCACTCAGCCAGCCCTTTAAATCACTCTTTTTTTTTTTTTTTAAGATTTTATTGGGGAATTGGGAGAAGGGAACAGCACTGGAGAATCGGGGGAAGGGGAACAGACAAGTTGCTGTTGTTTTTGTTCTTCAGTCTAGTTGTGGAGGATGTTGCTTCACTGGCCCAAGTTGGCACCATCACTGCGCTCTTCCCAGGTGAGGCAGATCAGTCGCCGGCTTCTGGACGGCCGCTCATGGCGGCTGCTGGCCGCTCACACTGGCTGTCGGCTACACACGGTAGCTTATGGCAGCCCACTGCAGCAGGGGACTGCAGCCTACGCCGTCGCCAGCAACCCACGGCGGCCCAGCCCCATGTCGAGCTGCTATTCACCATCTTAGCTGCAGAGGGCAGTGTCACTGGCCCTCATATGTGGGATCCGAACAAGGGCCCTCTGGCATCCCAAGCCAGTTCTTAACCAACGCGCCACTCGGCCGGCCCTAAATCACTCTTTCTTGATCATCCATCTTATTTTAAAAAGCTTGGACATCAAAGAGTTTTAATTTATCCACATTTGCTTTCAGAACTTAGATCCCTAACTAGCTGGGCAGCAGTGATTTCCTAGAAGAAACTGAGAACACAGTATTCATACTCAAGGACTAACTGCCAAGTTCAGAATTCCTTGTTTTCTCAAATTCAAGCTATTTGTTACACCAAAATCTGTACAGTTAAAAAATAAAACACAGGGCCGGCCGAGTGGCGCGATGGTTAAGAACTTGCTTGGGATGCCAGAGGGCCCCGGTTCGGATCCCACATATGAGGGCCAGTGACACTGCCCTCTACAGCTAAGATGCTGAACAACAGCTCGGCCTGAAGCTGGGCTGCTGTGAGTCGCCGGCAACGGCGTGGGCTGCAGTCCCTGTGGCAGTGGGTTGCCATGGGCTACGGTGTGTAGCCAGCAGCCAGCGTGAGCGGCCAGCAGCCGCAGTGAGCGGCCGTCCAGAAGCCGGCGACTGATCTGCCTTACCTGGGAAGAGCGCAATGATGGTGCCAACTTGGGCCAGTGAAGCAACGTCCTCCACAACTAGACTGAAGAACAAAACGACAGCAACTTGTCTGTTCCCCTTCCCCCAATTCCCCAGCACTGTTTCCATCCCCCAATTCCCCAATAAAAATCTTTAAAAAAAAAAAGAGTGGTTAAGTGACTTGTCTAAGATCACAAAGCTAATATATAATAGAGCCAGGGCTTGAACCCAGGTTTGCATGACTCCAGGGTTTAAGCATTACATTACACTGCCTCAAGCTGCACCCAAAAATTCATTCTACAAGCAAGCAAAGATTGAGGTGAAGCTTTCTGTTCTATAATGGCAAACTATACCCTTAGTATAGAAATGCAAAGAGAAGGCAAAATAAAGGAGAAAAATGGTAGTTTATCAGGAAGGGAATTCTTGTGGAAATAAGTATTACCGGTTCCTCAGTTCCTATACATTTACTGGTCTAGGAATAAAGGGGATACGAATAAATCTAAGACCTTCGTGATGCTCATATGTTTAGTGTTGGGAGTAACAAAGGGCGTTAATGACACATTACACAATCAGCAAAAAAGGTTGAAAGTAATAAAGAGCTTGATCCTAAAAATTAACCACTACAAAGGAATATAATCATACAAGACAAAAAAAGTCAGAGAAGAGAGAGACCACTGGGAACTGATCCAGGGATCAATGAAAGACTTCCCCTCAAATTGGGACCTGAAGGTTTCAGCAGGTGATTCTCAGGACACAGACATGGATAGAACTATAATGTCCAATCCAAAGCCTAAGGGAAACATTACATACATATACATATACATATATATACACACACACACATATATACATATATATGTGTATATATATATAAACATTATCTATATATATATAAATGAAATATGTGCTATAGTATCTCTATTTGCACAATAAATAAATCTGAACTAAATATTTGGAGGAGAAACTAAGGCACAGTAACCAAACAACTTGCCTTTAAGGTTAAGTTAAAAATTTTTACCAACTTCCAGTCCAGTGTTCTAGCAGGTTTCCAGTCCAATGTTCTAGCAGGCAAAATGGAACTCCATTCCTAAAAGAGCTAGAATTCATGGAAACTGGAAATGATCTTCCTTAGAGAAATCCATGGGGCTGGAAACCTTTGGGTGAAAGCTACTGGGAGGTCAGGAAGAACAGTCTCTACCAGAGTCCTTTCGGTAGAAAGCAGAGATACAGCCAACCTACTCAGTAGTTCTTTTGAGAAACACAGTTATATTCCACATGGAGATAATAAAAGCGGCCACTGCCTATGGCTGCTCTGACCCCACAGATGAGGTGCATCTCTCTTGTGCAAACTGAGACTTAGGCTTGGCAGCAAACTTTTCAAAGTGTCTTTTAGCACACGTTCACCACTCAGACTTCTACAACCACACTAACTAAGAACACAAGAGAGACCCCAAAATACCAATATTCTGCCAAACCCTGACTGACCGTCCCCAAACCCTGACTGATTTAAGAGTATCATTCCATTTTGGACTAGTGCCAACTCATTAATATATGCAGTGACTTTCCTACATGCTTCAGAGTCACCTCAATACTATTCTAAGAAGGATTCACATTTGGAGAAACAAGCTCAGTTGGTAAGGCGGGCTGTCTGAAGTCATTTGCAAATCGGCAGGTACAAATAAAGTTTTCTTAGTCCAGACCTGTACGCATTTCAAACAGAAGACTGCGTGCTGCTCAGTACAATCCAAATCCTTACAAGGTGCCTTTCAGCACAAAAAGAAAGATCATTCTCCTAAAACAGGCGATGAGCAAAGCAGTGCCTAGCAATCCTTGTGCCATTTCTTCCATCTTCAAGTACAAGTCTGGTAGGTTTCCCAGGAGGATCAAAGCGTCTTTCAGGCAAACTAATGCTTTTCTTCCCTTGTTCTCTGTCATTAAAGAGTGCGCCTGACTCTGCAGGAGCTAAACTTTACCCAAGGTCCACAATGGTTATGAAATAAGCCTAAGAGAAGGAGGGCAGTGACCACAATGCTGCTGGATATAACAGCTGACACCAAACAGCACAGGAGGGAAAAGCTGGTCCTCATCAGTTCCGAAGCAGCCGAATGGAAATCCCAAAGAGAATCTCACTTGAGCTGACAGGTGAAGGAAATGCTATCAGAGAAGATGGGCAAGGTTTGTAATATTTACCAAGAGCCTGGGTGCTGAGGATACAGCAGTGGAGGAGACCAAAAAAAGGGGGGAACAAAAAACATCGTTGGCACAGAGAGCAATAAGTGACAGGGATGTTTAATTTGGGGAGGGCGAGTGGCTGGGAGAACAGAAGACACCAAGCCGTAACGTGGAAGACGGAGGTGTGCCGATCTGGTTAAAGCTTCGGAGTCGCACAGACTTCGGTTTGAAGCCTCACTTTTTACCACTTAGCTAGTTCTGAGTTGGATTTGTGAGTCATCTGTAAAATAGAAGGCGTCTCACGGAGTTAGGAGAATCCAGATAATGCACAGAAAGCGCTTCCCCAAAGTCTGGCGCTAGAAAGAGCTCTACTAAAAAAGAACTGTCTCTTTTCAATATTTCATGTTCTCGTTTCCAAAGCCCAGTACAGTGCCTGGGGTCTCTCGGAGGATTTGGGCATGCGGGCGGACGGAATCAACGCCCGAGAACATGAATAGATGGATGAATGAAAGGCTGCGCGGAGAAAGAGGGCAGAAACTGCAGGGAGGTGGCGCGGCGCCCCACGAACCATCTCCAAACGAGAGCACTTGGGGACTCTGGGGAGCGTCGCCGGGGCAGGGCACAGGAGGCTGCAGCGAGGACGCGGGTGGGGGCTCCCCCGGGCGACCGCGAAGCGCCTCATCACGCCTCCAGGGAGCGTCACGCCGGACAAGGAAGAGCGGGTAGGGGGAACCGAGGGACGCGCCGGTGGGAGGGAAGGAGGGAAAAGGACTGGGTGAGGAGACGGGAGGCCGGAGCTGAGGGAAGGGGTGAAGCGCCGGCCCTTCTCTGGAGGAGTCGCCTCATATCCCCGCGCGCCGGGACCGTTTTGGACGTAACCGCCTCCCGTTTCGGCGCCTGTTTACCTAGCCGGGCTTCGCCCCACCACCGCCGCCACATCTCGCCCCCAACTCCCGCTCCGCTTCCACTCGGCTTGGTCCCTGCACCTCCCAGCCATCCCGGCCGACTTGGCCCGCTCCGCACCTCACACACGGCTCATCGGCGGCAGCCGCCATCTTCGCGCGCGCGCGCCCTAGCCCCGCCCCCAACGGGGGCCCACGTGACCGCCCGCCTGCGGCCGGGGCTTTCCGTCACGTGATGGCGGGGCGGGGCCAAGATGGCGATGCCCAGGGAGGGGAGGACCTCGCGGCTAGGGCAGCAGAGACTGTGATGAAGGCGCCCGAGTGGCGGGAGACGGTGGAGGGTGACCGAGCACTAGCTCCCAGACTTCAGAGAGTGGCCTAGAGTGGAGCGTCCCACCTCGCAGCTGGAGAACGGAGAGAGAAGGTGCTGGTTGGGTGAAGCTGCGGCTCTCTGCCTGGACGGGCTTGCGCTGTCCGGAATCCAAGGCGACCCTAGTCACCCCGGTTTGCCCGGAGTCCCAGGTCTAGAGACATGACCCGAGAGTCCCCTGCCCCGGGGACCGGAGCTCCGCTGAGCGGGTCGGTGCTGGCAGAGGCGGCTGTGGTGTTCGCAGTGGTGCTGAGTATCCACGCGACCGTGTTGGACCGATATTCGTGGTGCGCTGTGGCCCTCGCAGTGCAGGCCTTCTACGTCCAGTACAAATGGGACCGTTTACTACAACAGGGAAACGCTGTCTTCCAGTTCCGAATGTCCGCAAACAGTGGCCTCCTGCCCGCCTCAATGGTCATGCCTTTGATCGGACTGGTCATGAAGGAGCGCTGCCAGGCTGCAGAGCACCCATACTTCGAGCGCTTTGGAATTGTGGTAGCCGCCACTGGCATGGCAGTGGCCCTCTTCTCATCAGTGTTGGCACTGGGCATCACTCGGCCAGTGCCCACCAACACTTGTGTCATCTTGAGCTTGGCTGGAGGTGTCATCATTTATATCATGAAGCACTCACTGAGCGTGGGTGAGGTGATCGAAGTCCTGGAGGTCCTGCTGACCTTCGTCTACCTCAACATGATCTTGCTATACCTGCTACCCCGCTGCTTCACCCCTGGGGAGGCACTGCTGGTGTTAAGTGGCATCAGCTTCATGCTCAACCAGCTCATCAAGCGCTCTCTGACGGTAGTGGAAAGCCAGGGGGACCCAGTGGACTTCTTCCTGCTGGTGGTGGTGGTAGGGATGGTGCTCATGGGCATCTTCTTCAGCATCCTCTTTGTCTTCATGGACTCAGGTACCTGGGCCTCCTCCATCTTCTTCCACCTTATGACCTGTGTGCTGGGCCTTGGCGTGGTCCTGCCCTGGCTGCAGCGGCTCATCCACAGGAATCCCCTGCTCTGGCTTCTTCAATTCCTCTTCCAGACAGAAACCCGCTTCTACCTCCTAGCCTACTGGTCTCTACTGGCCACTTTTGCCTGCCTGGTAGTGCTGTACCAGAATGCCAAGCGGTCATCCGAGTCCAAGAAGCACCAGGCCCCCATCATTGTCCGGAAGTATTTCCACTTCATTGTGGTAGCCACCTACATACCAGGTATCCTCTTTGACCGGCCTCTGCTCTACGTGGCTGCCGCTGTATGTCTGGCAGTCTTCATTTTCCTGGAGTATGTGCGCTACTTCCGCATTAAGCCCCTGGGCCACACTCTGCGGAACCTCCTGTCGCTCTTCCTGGATGAACGAGACAGCGGACCACTCATCCTGACACACATCTACCTGCTCCTGGGCATGTCTCTTCCCATTTGGCTAGTCCCGAGACCCTGCACACAGAAGGGTAGCCTGGGGGGAGTGAGGGCCCTGGTCCCCTATGCCGGTGTCCTGGCTGTGGGTGTGGGCGACACGGTGGCCTCCATCTTTGGCAGCACCATGGGGGAAATCCGCTGGCCTGGAACCAAAAAGACTTTCGAGGGGACCATGACATCTATATTTGCCCAGATCATTTCTGTAGCTCTCATCTTAATCTTTGACAGCGGAGTGGACCTAAACCACAGTTATGCTTGGATTTTGGGGTCCATCAGCACGGTGTCCCTCCTAGAAGCATACACTACGCAGATAGACAATCTCCTTTTGCCTCTCTATCTACTGATATTGCTGATGGCCTAGCTGCTGTGCAGCAACAATGGAGGAAATAGTTGATTTAGATTCCAAATAAAAATTAAAGCTCTCCTGGTTTTAGTTTTGCTAATATTTAAAAGCAAAAAGGCAATAGGATAGTGCAACAACTCAAAGAACTTGAGTGTACTATAGGGCCCCCTCTCCCCTTGCGATCCTCAGACGGGGCTGCAGTGGACACTGGAGGCCACAGAGAATAATGGTTAACACTTTGGGTTCTGTGTCAAACTAATCTGGTCAATCCTTGGCTGTACCCCTTCTTAACTGTGTGAGTGGCTTAACCACTCTGGGTCACCATTCTCCTGTCTGCAAGATGGGACTAATAAGAGCCTGCACCTCACAAGGTGTGAGGATCCTGTGAGGTGAGGTGTGTGCAGTGTCCAGCCCAGGGCCCACACATGGTGAGCAGTCAGCAATGGAAAGTGTCAGTTTTACCCAAGGCCAGTCCTCTCAGTAAAAAGCTAGGCAAGTCAAGGGTTGTACTTTTATGGGTTGTACTTGGAGACCAGAGTGACCTTAACTTTATCTGGAGGCAAACCCAAGAGGAAACTAGCCAAATGCATGTGGTGTCTCCCATTTGGGCTAGGAAGAGCTGAAGGGGGATGGTGAGATCAGCTCGTTGCATGTGACGAAGACCTGGGAGAAAAGGAGCAGGTTTCTTACCCCGCCTGGCAGGGAGGGGCCTAGCAGGAAGAGGTGAGAACTTTGGCCCACCAAGGCCAAAAGCCAGGAGTGGAGCTCTAGGGAGTTCATGGGATCACTGCCGCGCCCTTTCCCTCAGAGGAAAGTATTCAGACATTCCTGTGGGGCTCAAAGGAGACTTGACCAAGCCTTTCTCTTAGGCTCCCTTCTGCTCGCTAAAGGAGACAGCAAAATGCCGGGGAAGAGCAGTGGCTTTGCCTCATTGACTCCCTGTGGCCTTGAAAAGGGCTCTGTCCTCTGGGCCTTGCTTGTCCGTGTGTACAGTGGGGGCTGGAAATCAGGCTCACACACTCATGGCCACTGAGGCCAGGCAGGTAATGCAGTGAAGGAGGACGTGCAACACCGAGGGCACACGTGCCTCTAAGGTAGCTCCAGCCTGTCGTCAGTGTGCCAGACCACATGCCCAGTGATGCTGACTCGTTCTTTCAAGGAAGCTTAGGAATCTGGATTGTTATGTGAAAGCTCCCAATTTTAAAACATTTTTATAAAAACACCGAGGCCCAAACAAACACCTGTGGTCTGGAATCGTGGCCCCCGATTTCCTCTGGGCCAGACCCCAGCTAAACAGGTTTGGGGTTTGGTAGTTGTTCCTGCAAAAGATCTGAGTGCCTGCCACGCTTGCTCAAGCAGAAGGGACCCATGGAGGCCCTTTTCTGGCCCCCAATTATATAGACAGGAAAACAGGCCCGGAGGGAGGAAGGGCCTGGCCTCAGACCAGAAAGCGAGTTGGTCACAGAGCCAGGACCAGAATGTGGGACTGGATTCCCAGTCCTTGTCGTCTTTCCCCTCCCCCAGTGAGGAGTAACAGGAGTGTAGAGGTTAGAAGCACAGGCTTTGGGTCTGGCTGAGCTTGCTGAACAACTGAACAGCTGTGTGACTTGGGCAGGTCTCATAACCTCCCCATGAGTTGGCTTCTTCATCTGTAAGCATGGATGATAAGAGGTCCATCGGTGAGGACTCAGTGAGACACAACGTGGGAAGCTCTTGGCACAGTGGGTGAGTGCCCACTACCTGTGACTTACTGTTAGGGAAATCACACAAACCTCACCAGGCAGGGCTGGAGTACCCGGCACGATTTTCAGCAGAGCTCTAATCTTGAGAACAAGGCTGCTTGAGAAAGAAGGATTGAGAAGCTACACTCGGTAGTCGTCTTTATTCAATGTCTTGCAGCATCACAGAGCAAGAGGAGAGGAGAGAAGAGTAAGAAGCTGGCGGAGAAGTGGCCAGAACCCTTTTGTTGCTAAGAGGCTGCCTCTAGGGGGAGGCTGTGTTGGGGGGCAGAGGGGAGACAGATCTTGGGAAAGGCATCCAGTTGGGCTTCTGCTGCCTGACTGCCACCCCTTGCCTGCCCATCTGCAGGGCTGAGAGGCACAGACTGGCAGAAGGAAAGCCCAGAAGGAGAGATGTGACTTCCCCGTTGCAGCTGGGCGGTTGGGCGAGGCACTGGTATTTGCAACCCACGGCTTCACCTGGGAAGGGACAGTGCCCAGCCCTGCAAGGGCCTTTAGGTGTACAGTGGGGGAAAGGACAGCTCGGCCGTTGGCTGGAGCCTGCGGAGGATAGACAAGATGACCTTGAGATGCCAGTATCACTGCCCCCCTCAATCTCCTGGACCTGTTCAGGAAGGCAGGACACACCCTCCCGGCCACCTACCAGTTCTCCGGGCTCCAGGTGGTGCCAGAGGCCTCCATGAGGTGGAAAGTGTAGGCCTGGCGTGAACAGCTGGAGAGGTTTTGCTCACTCTTGTGCACCACTTCTCCGTGGATTAGGATAAGGGCCCCTGGTGGGGACACAGCAGATCAGGAAGGAACACAGGGCCCTTTAAGACTCGAGCAGCTTTGTGGCTTGTTCACCCCCATCCCCATTCCTGAAAGCTCAGGCCCGCAGCCTGCCCCAACGTCCGAGGCTCTGCTGTTGGATGCAGTTTCCCCTGGGATCTGGTCCCTTCTGCTGGGGGCCTGTGCCCTTGGCAAGCCTGAGCAAGTTCCATGGTGTTTACAGAGCGAGGCAGAATCTGTCCGTATTGTGCCAGTCGGCTGGGATCTCGCCAGTGAACACTGAGTTGGACCTCAGTTTTCTTTTTCCCAAAAGCAAGAGGGGCACTAATAGCTGGCATCAGGTCCTGTGTGAACATCTTAGGTACATCCTCTCACTGACTTCCCCACTTTCTATTTGGGGAAACCGAGGCTCAGATTCAGTCATTTGCCCATAGGGCCGGAGGCAGCAGAGTCTGGAATCTAGCCTGATTCAGGAGACATTGCTGTTAATCCCACTGCTTGCTGACTTCACAGTGTCCCGTGACTTCCCAGCCCTCAAGTGAGCTGGGTGATCAGAGCAAGCAGAGACCCACGGGCCTGGCCTCAGGGCCCTGCCTTCCTGCTCTCTGCATCCCGCCTACCTCTCTTCACTGGTGTGGGCACAAAGAGGCTGTTATCCCGGGCCGGCTCTGACCCCAGGAAGCAGGTGCCAGGTGCTGAGCCAGCAGGGTTCCGGACCATCCTTCTCGATACTCCACCTGCAGACAAAGGTGGAGCCTTTGGCCTCTCTTTTCTGGGTTCCTCTCCCATGGTGGGTAGGGTATGAGTGGGCAGGGAGAGGCAGGTGTCCTCACTGGTGTGGGAGCCGGGAATGAACGAGAGGCAGCCGTTCTCCAGCGTGGCGTCCTCCACTGCAATCCACAGGCCCAGCACGCGGCCCAGGGGCTCCGTGTAGAGGAAGGAGGCATCCTGGTGAGGGAAGACTGCAGCAGGCCCACCTGGGCGTGAGGAGCCCTGCCCCTCCTCTCCTTGGCCTTGTATCCCACTCCCCAATCCTGAGCCCTCCCGGCCCAGCCTTCCCATTATCAGTTAGAACCTGGCCACTTTCTGGCCCGAAGACTCTAGAGAGATTTCACCTCTCACAGCTTCAATTTCCTAAACCGTAAAGCGGCCCCAACAATCATCTACCTCATGGGGCTGCTGGAGGATTCCATGAGATGATGTGTGAAAAGGGCCAGCATGGGACCCAATGTTGTAATTACTTGCTAAAAAGTAGCTGCTACTGTTTAATTGCAGCCAGGTAACTAAGGCCACCATCCTCAACCAGGGACAACGCCTCCAGCCACCAGATGATCCACCAGGTGGTGTAAGACTGGAGAGTCGGGTGGGAAATGGGAGGGAGAGCTAACCAAGCATCCACATTTTAAACACCCACCCCTCGTGATACGGGGCCCAGCCAGGACGGAGGACCACTGAACAAAGGACCTCTGTTTGTAACCACAAAGTAAAGGGGGTGCTAGTCTTGCCTCCTTCCTTCCTGGAGAACTTCCAGACAGTGTCCAGAGGAAAGGGGGAACTCTAAAACATTTGGAGGAGGAATGGCTGAAGGAAGTGGGGGTGCTAGACTTGGGGATGGGATGGCCATCCCTTCGGGGGACTGTCCTCTGACTGAATGGGGGAGGTGGTCACAAGGAGGCCAGCTTGGGCTCACGCAAGGAAGGAAAGGGCTACCTGTGAGGGGGTGAGCTCCCTGTCACTGGTGGTCACCCAGGAGGGAGGCCATAAAGAGTATCTGTGCATCCAGTGGGGTTTGGCATTAGATCGGCAATTTCTGTGCTGAATCGGTCCTCCAAGGAACTTGTTAAAATACAGATTCCCAGGCCCTGGCAGCCCTACTGACTCAAGATCTCAGGGAACGGGGCCTGGGAATCTGTATTTTTAACCTGCTAGGCGTGGTGGCCAGGTTAGGAACCACTGTGCCAAGGGCCACCTTCCCACTCCACTATTCCAGGAAGGAATGTAAGGTGGCTTCTCCTCCCGGCCCTATGGACATCTTGGCAAGCGCCTTCCCTCCCCCAAAAGACCTGACAGCCATGAATGCCCCGGATTTCCCTCTGTGGCCCTTGTCTGCTCTCTGGCTCACCTTCACCGCCAAAGTGAGGTTGCTGCAAGAGAGAGGAAGGGTCAGGTGAGACCAGAGGAGGGCAGGAGGGAGCAGAGGCTGCTCTGAGTCTTGTGGGACGCTCTTCCCTGGCCACAGGCGTTCACCTCCAAGAATTTCTCGTCAGCACCCATCTATTGAGGACCTACTGTGTGCCAGGCCCAGGAGGGCCGCAGGGAGAAAAATCACCGTGCCCAACAGGGTGCTCTCGGTCTGATCTCACACATGCCTAACAAAACACTAGGCAGAAGTGAGGGGCAGCAGGAGATGCTGGGACCCAGAGACTGGTCCCTCTCTTCCCAAGGGAGCTGGAAGGCTTCTTGGAGGAGGTGGCACTGAGCTGGGCCTTGAAAACTGGGAACAGAGCATTTCAATAGCCAAAGAAGGGTGGAGGGAGTCCTGAGGACCCCCTTCTCTCCTACCACCAAATGTTAACAGAACCAACTAAGTGCCAGGCGCCTTAGCCAGAGGAGACTGATTTTACATGTTCTCCCCCATATTAATAATTCCTCTAAGAAGCAGTTTTTGGCCCATCGTGAGGAGCGGCTTGGTATGAATACTCTGCCCATTTTACAGAAGGTAAACTGAGGCCTGGGGAGGACGGGGAGCTCACCTTAAAGATGTACATGCTCTGCACCACCACGGGCATCTGGAGGCCCAGACTTCTGACCAAGGCCTAGAAGGGGGCAGAGGTCACAGTGCCGGCCTGCCCACTCTCCCATCTGGCCCCCTGCCCACCCTCGTCCCACCTCTGCTCACCTGTATCTTGGGAGAGTGTGTGACACACTTGAAGACAGGGTCATGGGCGTGCAGAGCTGCAGGACAGAGGTGAGCTGACTGGCCAGTCCCCAATCATCCCTCCCACGCTAGCCCTGGGCATCCGGACTCAGGCTTCAGTCTCACCGATTTTGTGTACGGTAAGCTTTCTGCTTATTTATAACCAAGGAATGGGCCCCACATAGACCTTCAGCCTCACCCCAGGCCCCACTCCACCCATGACCTTGTTCTTGACCTTTCAGCCATCTGGGAAGCTTACTCTAGCCCTGACTCCCCGTTCATCAGAGGACAAAGGGCTCCAAGGGGCCAATCACTTGGTGGCAATCTCAGTCCTGCCACTTACTCTATGTGATTTGTCTCCTGTAAGCCTCAGTGTCCACCTCTGTACAATGGGACCAGAAGGCCCACCCTGCCTCCTGGGCTGCCACAGGACTTGCGGGGCTCACGCATGTGCAGCTGCAGCCCAGGGCCTGGCATGGAATAGCTGCTCTCATTATTTGCTTTTATTTTTACTACAAAAAGCGAGGGTTGAAATATTACATGTCAATTATACCTCAATAAAAAAGGTGAGGGTTAGGGCCAGCTGATTGGCTCAATTGGTTGAGTTCATTCAAGAGCCCAAGCTCTGGGCCGGCCGAGTGGTGCAATGGTTAAGAACTGGTTTGGGATGCCAGAGGGCCCCGGTTCGGATCCCACATACGAGGGTCAGTGACACTGCCCTCTACAGCTAAGATGCTGAACAACAGCTCAACCTGGAGCTGGGCTGCCATGAGTCGCTGGCGACGGCCGTAGGCTGCAGCCCCTGTGGCAGTGGGTTGCCATGGGCTACCATGTGTAGCCAGCAGCCAGCGTGAGTGGCCAGCAGCCGCTGTGAACGGCCGTCCAGAAGCCAGCGACTGATCTGTCTCGCCCGGGAAGAGCGCAATGATGGTGCCAACTTGGGCCAGTGAAGCAACGTCCTCCCCAACTAGACTGAAGAACAAAAGGACAGCAACTTGTCTGTTCCCCTTCCCCCAATTCCCCACCGCTGTTCCCATCCCCCCAATTCCCCAATAAAAATCTTTAAAAAAAAAATGCAAGCTCTGAGCAACAGGGCTGCCGGTTCAATTCCCAGCCTGAGCTGAGCTGCCGCTGAGCAGCCAACAGGTGGCAGGGTGGCTCAGCTGAAAAATAAAAAAAAGGTGAGGGCTGGATGTACTTAATGCCACACTGAATTGTACACTTCAAAATGGTTACCATGGTGAAGTTTATGTTATATATATTTCACCACAATTTTTTTACAAAGCTACCATGATATAACTGTTTAAAAATAAACAGTCTACAAAATCAGTTATAATGTATTATCCTGAAAGAAAAAAAAAAAAAGAGGGTTTCCTAGCTTGGTTTCAGGAGGGGGTCCCAGAATAGGGACCATGTCAACATATTAAGTGGGAGGCTCCAGGAATCAGTGGGACCCAGGAGCCCCCCATGCCCAGGGCCCGGATCATCCCCAAGCCAGGGAGTAGAGAGTTGAGGCGTCTGCACATGCGCACCTGCATGGGGGGTTCAGTGAACCCCTCTTCCCAGTGCCATGTGATTAGCATCGTAAGATGCAGAAGAGCAGGGCCAGAGGGGGTGCTACAATCAGAAATGCCATTTTCTGGGCCAATAAATTACTTTAGTCTCTGGGTAACACTCCTACACTCTTCAGGTCTCAGTTTCCCCACTTCCCTTCCACCAGGCGCCAGCTTACCGTGGCCAATTTTGTTGATGGATTTCTCTGGAGGGACCAGGAAACTTCCTGTGGCACAAGAAACAGGTAAAGGCAGAGGAGCTGGAGTCTAGCCTCCCCCAGGTAGCCGGTCCAGCACCCCCGGACCCCTGGGGGGCCGATACCTAAGTCCAGTGCACCCCCACCACTAGGGCCCCAGCTCCGAACCTTTCTTGTCAAAAACATCTTTCTCAAAGAAGAATCGAATCTTGTCGCCGCTGCTCAGAAAATAGTCTGTGCTGCCCTGCAGGGGAGGGGACATCAGAGGGACTGAGAGAGCATCACAGGGTCAGTGCTGGGCCTGGAGGAGAGGGAAGAAGGCTCAGATGCCTCTCCTTCCTCAGGGCTGCATTCACCACTGGCGCTTCTCAAACCTGCCCACTGAGGCACAGACGGAACGGGAACCCCAAGTGCGTGCCTGGAAGCATAGCTGGAAGCTACAAGTATGGAATTTCTTGGAAACCTCTTAATAAGTCACATGGCTTATACTCAATATGGTGTGATTCAAAACACAGGCACAAGAATCAAACAGGCCTGGTTACCATAGGCCTAGGCCACTTGCTATACCTCTCAAAGCCTCAGTTTCCTTGTCTACCAAAGGTGAATAGTAACAGAACTGACCTCCCCAGATTGTTGGAGGTTTCTTGTAGAAGCTGAATCTTACAGCAGTGGAAAACACAGGCCCTGGAGCTAGAACAGTTGGGTACGTTATTATGCATTATTGTCAGTTCTATACAACTAATAGACTTGTAAAATGACTCAAAGACAATGAAAGGTAGAGGTGTGCTGGAAGGGAGAACTAGACAGGACACCCCCCCGATCTTTTTTTTCTTTGAATTTCCATTTCAAAGTCTTTCGCAAGATCACTGGTGAATATTGAGGGTCTACTGAGTACAGGCACTGTGCTGAGCTCTTTACAAGCATTACAAATGAAGATACATACAGCTTCTTCTCCCATCCTCCTGCTACCCCCTCACTGGTGTCTGGAGCTCCTCAGAGCCTTTGAGTGACCCTGGTCACAGGACCCCCATCTCTGCTTTCCCCCACTTGGAAGGCTGGAGTGCTTTCAATGAAACTGACTATTTAGAAGAAATTATCATTCTGTAACCCTTTTTCCTTCTAGAGTCCAAGTTCTCTGGGTTGTAAAACTTCCGGCCTTTGTAATTCCCTTTATGCCCACCAGATGGCAGGAGCTCATCGCGAGTGTGAGTGAGCCCCATTAGGGGGGGCTGGACCACAGACAGCTGTGGCTTGGAGGCCAGGATCAGGCAGGCTCATAAATTCAGACTCTGAAGGGTTAAGAGATCCCCCCAAGTCTCAACTTCCCCACCTCAAACTGTACTGAGTCCTGTTAGGTCACTGGAGCGAAACAAGCAGAGTTTCTAATCTCATTCCGGGATAAGCCTTGCAGAGGTGGGTCCATCAGAATCACAGGCTCATTCTGGGCTGCTGGCCACAGGAGGCCTTTTGAGGCAGGGGAACTACAGAGGAGGTACAGCAGAGCAGCAAACAGCTCGGCCTGGTATCAGATCTGGGTTCCAATCCTTACTCTATCAATTACTAACCCTGCGGTTTGGGACAAGTGAGCCGAGCTCCACTTTCCACACTTGTCAAATGCGGACGGTACTGCTGACCTTACACATTCATAGTGAGGAGTGAAGGAAATATGCATTTAAGGCACTTAGCCTGGAGCCTGGTACACGAAGGCTGGGTCTTGATTTGTTGTCAGAACAATAGAACAAGCTGTGGACCTCCAGGCTACTGCTCTGGCTGGGGACCAAGCCCCTCACCGCCCCCATCAAAGCCCAGCTCCCATCACCTACCTGGGCTCGCAGCTGCTCCTCTTCCTGGGTGGAAAATTCCACGCGGCAGTGGACAGGGACGTCCATCTTGGCCACTATCTCACCAATCCTCTGTTGCATGGCCACACATTCGTCTGCAGAAAAGAATCCTTCCAACACCAGGAATCCATCCTCCTGGAACTGCGGGCAGGAAGGAGACTCAGGTTTCCCCCAGCCCTCAAAAGACCTTCAGGAGAACTGATTTGACCCCTCCCCCAAGCCCAAAGCTACGTGAAGGCAGGAAAAAGTGTCCTGTTCACTGCTCTGTCCCCACGCCTGGCCATGGTGTCTGGCACCTCAGGGAAAAGCAGTTACTATTGGCTGCTGGAATAAAGGAAGGAAGAGGGGGAAGGGGAGGTGCACCCCACCTTCCCCTCCAGTGGGAGTGGGTCACATGGGAATACAATCTCATTCATTATTCAACTAAAATTGATTGGGCACGGGACTGGCCTAGTGGCTCCGTTGGTTAAGAGTTGGCTTAAGAGCATGAGCCCTGAGCAACAGGGCCGCCGGTTCGATTCCCACATGGGCCAGGGACGCTGCACCCGAGCTAAGCTGTCGCTGAGCTGCCAAAAGGTGGCAGGATGGCTCAGCAGGTGTAACAACAAGATGGCCTGTTCGATGGTGGGCTATGCCCACCCGCAACTAAGACTGAACTTGGCACCTTGAGCTGAGCTGCCGCCCGGATTGTGCAGTGGATAGAGCATGCGCTCTTAACAACAAGGCTGCTGGTTCGACTCCCGCATGGGATGGTGGCTATGCCCACCCGCAACTAACATTGAACACAGCACCTTGAGCTGAGCAGCCCTGAGATGCCGACGGGTGGCTGGATGGCTACTGGACTAGGACCTTAGCTAGCTGCGCCCTCCACAACAAAGACTGAAGAACAACAACTTGGCTGGTCCCCTTCCCCAATTCCCCAACACTGTTCCCCTCCCCCAAATTCCCCAATAAAATAAAATAAAATTGATTGGGCATTTACTGTGTACCAGACATGCTTTTAGGAGCTGGAGATTCAGTAATGAGCAAGCCAGCCATGATGCCTGCCCTCCTGGCGCTTACAGTCTAGGAAAGGAGATGGAACAAACGACGAACAAACCAACACACGGGAACATACTACTACAAACTGCTGAGTGCAGGGAAGGAGAAGGCAATGAGAGAACTAAAGGCGTAAGAGTGTAATGTAAACCAGACGGGAAGGACAGAGGGTCTCAGGGCAGCAGCTCCAAGGAGGTGACATCTAAAGGGGACCAGCAGGATAATGGGAGTCAAGAGACAGGGAAGAGCATTCCAGACCCAGGAAGCAGGAAGGGTGAAGCCCTTGAGCAAGGATGGAACATGAGGACTTGGGGCCTGATGGAGCAGAGTGAGGGTGGGAGTGGAAGGGAGGCAGAGGGGTAGCCGGGGCCGGGCCAGGCTAGGAGCTGGGCTTTATCCTGAGTGCAGTGGGCAGACAGTGGGGAGTTAAAACCGATGGCTGATTCTAATTTGCCTGCAGTCCTCTTACTCTGAGGCTATTGATAAAGATAAGGAGAGAAGGGATACCTACATGTTTGCTTGCAGAGCGTTATAAAGTCTTAACCTGAACAGGGACATTGAAAGTCACCTGAAGCCACTGTGAAGTGTCTGATTTCCAACTACTGAGTCCCTCCCCACCCCCTATCGCCTCCCTCCCTCCCCCACGGATGCTCAGGTCTGGCTTCCACTCATGCACAGGATGTTGGGACCTTCATGACCACCCACCACGGGCCCTTTTGTCTCTGGGCAGCTCTGCATGTCAGAAACTTAATCCTCATCTCAGTATCAAGGTGAAAATTGCCTCCTTCGGAACTGGGTCATCCACAGCTAACTCGCCAGTGATCCTGCAAACATACTGCTAGAATTCTTAAGAAGTTGGGGGACTAGCAAATAGGGGAACAAAGAAGTATGTATGAGGGTATTCACAGAAGCTTGTTTAATGACAGCAATAAGTCAGAAGTAGTAAGGGGAATCGTTCAACAAAGTATGGTCTATCTATCCGGAACACAACACAGCTGAAAAACATCATGTGGTAAAAAATATTTACTGACATGGAAATATGTTCCTGATTTTTTTTAAAAGCCAAGCACAAATTAGTGTCCTAACCATTATGAGAATTTGGGCATATGGCAATCACTCAATAAGCAATAAGCGGTAGCTATTATGATGGACCTTATAAAGATTCTATAATAGATATCATATCAACCTAAGAATTTGTGGGTGGTTTAAAATTTCCTTCTTTGAGCTTTTCTGTATTTTTCTGCATTTTTTTCTCTTGCTATCAAGAACAAACAAGGGTCATGTTATTTAAAAATCTAAGGTCTCTCTAATTCCCGGGAGTTAGTCTTTGAAAGCACGTGGGACCCTGGAGCCCTAGCCTGGCTCCAGGAGGCGGTCAGCCCCTTGGCCCCGCCCCCCGCCCCCCCACTCCCTGCTCCCTGCCTCGCCCCGCTCAGAGGTCCGGATCCCAGCCCGGACTGGCTGATCCCGGTGCTATATTATTACGGGTTTCAGTCACATACACACACATTCCCTCCCCACCCCGGTCTTGTGGTCTGGATGTCCCCAGGCTGTGTGTGCAGAAGTTAGAGGTCGTGGGTGGGAACTGACCACTCCGGGCTTGTTTCCTCTTCTGAAAAATGGCAAGGGGTGGGGTTGAGTTCCGGGGGACTGGAGACTACTAGAGGTTTGGAGGAGCTCCCCACTCTTACCTGGCCCTCCCTGCCCCATCCTGCAGGCCCCTACCTTCTGGAGCTGCGAGAGGCTCAAGCTGGCCATGAGGAGGAGGCTGACTGGGCTCGCGGTAGCTCTGCTGCTGCTGAGCCCAAGGCTGGAGAGGAAGAAGGTCAGGCAGGGTGAGTGGATTGAACCCCAGAGTGGCAGAGGACTTTAACCCTCGCCTACCCAGAGAAAACCCAATCCCTGCCCCCGCCACGCCCAGACCCTGGGTCCATCCTCCCAGGTAATCTAGGATTAGCTCTTTCCAGCCTCCTTCCTGGTTTTTCAGGGCTCTCTCCCACTTGATTTCCAGAAACCACCTGGCTGGCTGCTGACCAGGTGCCCAGAAGTTGAATTCCAGGAATGTCTGGGCAAAGAAGCTGGGCCAACAGGACACCTGAGTGCCAGTCCAGGTGCCACCACTAACTGTGACCTCTGACCAACTTCCGTCCCTCAGTTGCGGATGAGAAAGTTCCCAGGCCACATCTGGGGGGAGGGGGGCAATGCAGTGTAGGTCTGGGGGAGGTGCCCACCAGACTGGCCCTGAGTGGCTTTGGATGGAAAAGGTCCTCAGGAAGTTGTCTGGGCCCCTCCCGGGTCTGAAATTCTCTAGGTTTTGGGAGGATTATGGAAGGGAGTGTGTAGATTAGCCTGCAGTTCAGAGGAAGGTAGATGATAAAGGGCCAGCTGAGTGAGTTAAGAGCTGGAGCTCTGAGCAACAGAGTCGCTGGTTCGATTCCCACATGGGCCAGTGAGCTGCCGCTGAGCTGCCAACAGGTGGCAGGATGGCTCAGCTGGTGACAGCGTGTGCTCCTGACAAGGTTTCCGGTTCGACTCCCGCATGGGATGGTGGGCTATGCCCACCTGCAACTAAGATTGAACACGGCACCTTGAGCTGAGCTGCCAACGGGTGGCCGGATGGCAACTGGACTTTGAGCTGAGGTAGCTGCACCCTCCACAACTAAGACTGAAGGATAACGACCTGGCTGTTCCAATTCCCCAATAAAATCTTCAAAAAAAAAAAAAAAGAAGGCGGGCGGGATCTTAGAAGAAGGAAGGGGCTAGAGAGTGGGAGCTTGGGTCTTCAGAATGAAGGAGAGCGAGCCACAGTTCCTGTTCCCCACCCCCAGACCCACGATGTTTGGTGTCTCAAATTAGGCTGGCTCAGTGGAGGCCGGGGGTCGAAATGGCACATGCACACCCACTCTTCTAGCTGACCCTGCTCAGTCGACAGGCTATTCTGGCTGCAGCTTCTGAAAACCAGCCACTGGCCCTCCCTGAAATAATGCTTTCTGAATGGCGAAGGGACAGAGTGTCTCGGGAGTGAGCGTGGGGACACAGCTCGGCCCTCAGAAGCCTTGGCCCAGAGTCAAATGGTGTTTTCTGGGCCACCGCACTGGGAGTTGCTGCTTGCCTCGCCAGGCTCCCGAGGCTGCAGGGACAAGAGGTTCAGAGGGGTTAGGTTGGGTGAGGGCAGGCAAAGAGCCATGTGGGAAACACAGCAGAGGCTCAGCTCACTCGCTGTCCTGGTCCCTTCTGATGCAGCCACCCACCAGAGGCAGGGGCCAGGAGTACAGTGAGGGTCCACTGGGCTGGACTAGCAAATCCCCTACCTTGGGAACCCCACCTTGCAGTGGAGGCTCAATGAGGCAGACTGGGTTCAGTCCCCACACGGGCCTTACTTTCCCCATCTGTAATTTGGGGATCACAGTAATACCTTTTTTAAGGAGAAAGATGCTTTACTGCTGATTAATGAGCTCAACACAGGGCCTGGCACTGAGTAAATACCTACCAACTATTCACCAAAAGTTAGCAGGAGCTGTCCTGGGTAGAATGGGAGGCTATTTTCATTTTATTTTTTGAACTTCCCCAAGATTTCCAACTGCTGTTGTAATCAGATAAGCCCACCAGTTGTAGTTTTAAGCGGGGTGGGGGGGCCTGGGGAGGGGTGGGGATGAGAGGGGGAGCTGGGCCTCCCACGATTTTGTTCATTCATTCTGCTCAGGCTTTGAGAAGGGGGGCGGGTGGTGTTTGTTTTTTCCAAAAGCTAACTAGCTCCAGATCAAACATTGCTGCTCTGGGCACTGGGTGGCCCCAAAGCTGGGGTGAGGGCATGGGAGTTCACAGGGAGGGGCCAGGCCTGACAGGAGGGGAAGGCCTCCCCTATGGAGACCCAGAAGGGACTTAGAGGGGGACCTGGCCCAGTTGCTCAGTCTCCTAGTCAGAAAGCCCACAACAGGGTCCGAGAGGTCACCTGGAGGGGTCATAGCCCATGGAGTGAGAGAGGACTCCGGCCTGTCCCAGAGGAGGTACCCAAGCAGCAGGTAAGGCCTCATTGCTAAGGCCAAGGTCAGACCTAACCACGTTTCTTCACCAAAAGGCCACTGTCCCAGGGCCCCTACATCAGCCCAGCGCAGTCTCACTGGTCCAGGAGAAAGATATCATTTATTGGGTACTAGGAGCCAGGTCCTCTGCTGAAAACGCCACCAACCTGCATAATTATCAGGAGTAAGCCTCAGGAAAATCCTGCAAGGTTGCCAGCACCATCCTGACTTTACAAATGAGGAAACTGAGACCCAACATCAAGGATCTTAAGGCAGCTCTGCCCATCTCCCTGAGCCTCTGCCCTTGACTCCAGCACCTTCTGCAGGCCCCCAAAGGGGCTGAGAGCAGGTCAGCCCCGACTCTGCAGAGCCAGGGGACTGTCTGTTGGAATTACAAAGGAACCATAAGAGCGCAGAGTGAAATTCCCATTGTACAGATGGAGCTATGGAGGCCACGGGTCTGCCCAGTTTCATGCAGGGGATGACTGAACTGTGAGGAGGACCCCAGACGACTGGCTCCCACTTCATTGCCTTCCCTTCCCTCCCCCTACCCATCAAAGGTCATGAGGGCCCAAACCACGCCGGGGTGGGCAGAGAACATGTTGGTTGTGGAAGGCCTGGCCGGGGCCCACGCCTGACACGTAACAGACGCTCTGTCCGGCTCACATCCACAGGGCGGGAGAGGAGCAGAGTTAACTATCTTGTAGGTACAACAAGTGCTCACTCGACAAACTGGTCCACAGGGCCCAGCAGGCCTCAGAGAGCTGAGGGAAGGGCCCCCGCGCCCCAACACAGGCCTCCGAAGGCTACTTTCTGTTATAGATTTATTTGATATTTGAACGAGTCTACAAGTTCAGACCCACATGTAACGGATTGCTTCATGGTTGTCAGAGGCTAGTGTGCGTTATTTCTGAGGATTACATCCCAATGACACGACGCAGAAAACACAAATGGACAAATAGACATAATTGTAAGACGAGAGACGCTAAAACGTGCCTTAGTGTCCAAGTGATTGATCTAAGGCAGGGACCCTTCTAAGGCGGGGACCCCAGCGACTGATCTACAGTGAGGTGGCTTCCCGCCGCCAGGCGCTGAGTGGGCCATGTGTGCCAGGCACCTGGGAAGCCTGCTCTTCTAGCGGCGAACTCCCCACCTGGGGCCCCGCCTCCAATAGTCTCTTCTGAAGGACCAGGTGGGGACAAGGTTGATGTAAGCAGCTGAGGCTAGTGGCAGCACTGGGCAAACTCGTGACACATGAGGTGGGGAAGCGGAGCCCAGGCGAGGTAGCTCCTCTCGGCTCTGTAACACTGTGGTGAGGGGCGGGGGAGGACGGAGCACCTTCATCCGGGGATTAGCCAACCCGCGTCTCCTCCCCTCTTGGCAGCTCCAGAACATTCCCTTTGGCCAAAAGCCACAGAAATGGGCGCCTGCCAAGACACATGGAGGAGAAAGAAAACAAGACACCAAAAACAAAACAACACAAAAAATCCCCGCCTTAGGGGAGGAGAGGAACAAACAGAACTCTGGACCAAGGTCACACCACATTTGGAAGACATCCTGCAGCCTGCACCCCGGGGGAAGGAAACACAATTCAGTGTCTCGATGCTCCGTTCAAGGAACACTGCCCCCACCAGCCCGACTCCAACTCACTGGCCTTTAGTGTTTTTCTTTTCGGTTTTTTTTTTCTTTTTTTTTCTTTTTAATACCCAAACCCTTCATTTTCAAAGCTTAAAAAAATTTTACTTAAAAAAAAAAAAAATCTAAAACTGATGAGGCAAGCCCCAGGCCTCGCCTTTCGCCCTGGTGGCCTGCTCTCCCATGACCACGCCGCCAGAGCCCAGCCCGGCACCACCGGGGGGGCAACTGTCCCACAGCTGGTTCACCCTGGACCACTCTATCCAAGGCTGGGTGGGCCCTAATTGCTGGCGGTATTGCCACAAAAGGAAAAGGAAAACACAGCCCACCCCTTCCTTAAACACCCCCCATCTGAGCTGAACATACTTGGGAATGTATAAGTTATTGGGGGGGGCGGGTGGACAAAAATAAATACCAAGAGCTACGTTGACGTCCCTGGACCTCTGGCTTCGGCTCAGCCTCGGGGGGCAGAGATGGCCTCCAGGGAGAAGGCCCTGATTGTCCAAACAATGCGCTCTGAGACAGACTACAGGTCTCTGATCTCCCCAACAGGCGCCTGCCCTGGGGGGCATGAGTCTCAGAGGGAGAAAAGGGGCCAGCCCCTCAGGTACTGTCCTGTCACCCTGGCCCAGCTCATATCCGACCCCAGGCTCCTGCCCTGGCGGAGGCTGGGCTGGCTGTCCCGGGTTTCTGGGCTCCTCGGCCGGAGGACCCCCCGGTGGTCCCTGTGCTTGGCCACCGCCATGGTTCAGGCCTGCTCCTTGTCGGCCCTCCAGAGCCGCTCCTTCACTTCGGGAGGCAATGTGTTGAATAGGTCCTCCTCCACCACCAGGCCACTGCGCTTGAGCAGCGGGCACTCGCCCAACTCCACGGGCAGGCACTCCAGCCGGTTGCCCCGCAGCTCGATCTGGGTCAGGTTGGTCAGCTCGCCCACCCTCGAGGGCAGCGACTGCAGCACATTGTTTCCCAGGTGCAGGGCCCGCAGCTTCCGGCACTGGAAGAGCTCTGGGGGCAGGGCCTCAATCTAGAGGGGAAAGAAGAAGCAGGGGGAAAAGTGAGGTGGGCACAGCTCAGACCTGAGGGCCTCCGGGCCCGAGGCTCCCCTTCCCACCTGCCCTCCCCCTGGCACCTTCTATGAGGCCCATTTCAGCTCACTCAGCCTGGCACCAGCACAATCTGAGCCAAAGTCTGGCTCACTTCCACCTGTACACTTTAGGTCTCAGCTTTGCATCACTTCCTCCAGGAAGCCTTCCCTGACCTCCTGGGTAATCTATGGCACCCATGTCCCGCCAATAGCACTGGTTCCTCCATGGTCAAGCTGCTTGATCACCTGTCACCAGGGCCATAGGCTCTGAGAGGGCAGGACTGGGTCCACCTTGTTCCCCACTGTCCCTCAGCACCTGGCACCCTAAGGAGCATATCACACCAGCCAGCTACTACCAACCCCACGCCCTTCTCTAGCACCCAGGGAGGACCAGGAGCCAGGTTTAAGAACCATTTTGAAAGCAGAACAGCACTCTGAGAAAATTCTACATCTAAATGTTGCTGAGAACTGGGAGAGCTCGCCAATAGGGGCGAGAATCCCAGCTGTGTCACTTCCCCTTCCTGGGCCTCAGTTTCCTCATCTGTCAAGTTCACAGGATGATCATGAGTGCAGGGAACCCCGTATTGGCCATTTGGAGTCTCCTCCTTCTGATTTTGCAAAATTTGAATAACAGGCAACACTCATTAGCAGTTCACTACATGGGCAGGGCTCAATCTGAGACCATTAATTCATTTAACCCTCGGAACTACTCTCTATAAACACTCTCCCCATTTTGCAGATGGGGTGACTGAGGCCCTGAAGAAGCTAACTTGCCTAGCGATTCACAGGTGGAAAGTGGTGAAGCCAAGTTGAACCCGGTTCCACAGCTCACACTCTTTGCTAACTCTTCGCATTGTTGGTGGAACAAGAAGCAAACATGGGGCCCAAGTGGGGACACGCTGTGTCCCCCAGCACACAGGAAGGGCTCCATAAACGCCAGCTTCTTTCCGTCCTTCTGTGTCAGCTAGAAACATGAGCTCTTATTGAGGCTATTTGTCCTAAAATGACGTCCTTCAGATGTGATGGGCGGGAGGGACCCTACGAACTCTGAGGTTGCTCTGTCACTGTCCCCATTTTCCTGTTGAAGAGGCTGAGGCCTGGAAAGGTGAAAAGCAACCAAAAGGTGAAAAGAAAGGTGTCCAAGGGTGCAGAGCCAGGCAGGGTCAAGAGGGGATGTAAGCCTGGCTTCCTCTGACTCAGAGCCCCGCTATAGCCCCATTCTGCCAAATATGGCGCTTGTTGGCAGTGTAACCCTGGGCAAGTCCCTTTCCCTCCCTGGGCCTCAGTTTCCCCATCTGTAGACTAAAAAGGTTGGACTAGAAACACCCCTCCGCTGGGATCTTCTGTGGCAGAGGACCTTTGGGCAGACTTGGACCTCCACCTCACAGCCATTTTTGGAACAGGAACTTGTCCTTCCCAACAGGAAAATCAGTGTGGCCGTGGCCAGCCAGAGGCCACGCCATGAGGGACACTGGCTGTTTTAAAGGAGACTCCTGATGTGGGCTTCCAAAATCGCCACCCCTGTGCCCCACAGTTAGGAATAGGGCAGGGGTGGGTCAAGGTCAGCAGGGACAAGTTCAGGGACATGAAGGTGAGAGCAGATGGACAGGAGCCTCCCAGACACCCCCTGTGGGGGGACCACAGTTGCCACCCATGATGACACAAACAGTGGTCAGGGCAGCAGGAAAGGCTCCAGCCAGTGAGTGGCAGAGCTGGGAGTCACATGCACAGCTCCCTCCCTGAGAGCTCCCACCCAGAACACCCCCTGCCCCAGCCAGTGAGCTCTCTCCAGGCTCGAGAGAGAGAAAAGAAGGTACCTTCAGCAACTCAGTGCTCTGCCTTGGCCACCCCTGTCCTCTAGACCTGTCTTCCTTCCCCAGGTGTCCCTTGTCCACTGAAGGCTTGAAGTCCTTTTCCATCACCCCCAATCCTGCTCTCTCTCACCTTCTCAGGGACCTCAGTGGCGCCCCCCATCAGCGCTGAAGTGGTCTCAAGTCTACCTGGTCTTTGAAAAGAGACAACCCTCTCAGAAGCCTCTGGAGCTGCTCCATCATTCTCTAACTTTCCCTACAAACCTTCTGGAAAGACGCCATCTCTCCTTAGTCCACTGTGATCTGGTTTCTGCGTCCGTCCACCCTTGAAACTCTCTGGCCAAAGCCACCAACTGTCACTCGAAATCCACTGGACTTCAACCCGCTCTCCCTTCACCTGACTCCCCCATGAGCTGTGAGGCCACATGCTCCCGTCTGGCCTTGCTCTTCCGCCATCCATCCGGAAGGCTCAAGCCAGGCTTCTCCCCCCTCCATCCTCTCCCTGGTGATCTTGTCAAGGATCTCTCCTCACCCGTGAGACCTGGGGTGATGACACCTTGAGCTTCAGGATGACTCGACAAGGTCCCTGGAGGTCCCAGGGCCCCAGACACCTCACACAGAGCACACCCTCTCCTCTGAAAACCTGTGCGTCCTCGGGCATCCTGTGTCAATGACCTTCCATCTACCCAGGCAGCCAAGTAAGAAACCTGGAGTCACCCCAGACAACCCCCATCCTCCCCACATCCAACCCAGCCCACCTCCTGTGGGTTCTACCTCCAAAGTCTCTGAAATCCGCCATGTCTCCCCATCCCTGGCAGTCTTTGCCAGTACAGGCATGCCCCTCCCCACTCCTGCTGCATACGGTCTCTATAACCCCATCACCGCATATCTTTTTCCCCCAAACCACCCCTGCACGCTGCAGCAAGAGCAATCTCTCTAAATTGCAAGTCAGCCTGCTCCTCTATCCACTCAATCAGCAAGAATTCAGTGAACATTTGCTACATGTCTGGCATTGAACGAAAGAGCCAAGGTCCTTGTCGTGAGAGCTTACGGCCTGACAAGGGGAATGGACGTGAAATAAACAAAAATACAATCATTCAAATGGAAGTGGGAAGAACAGGATGCCCCTACCAGCCCGAGTGGACAGCCTGACCCCTGCCCTCAAAGTCCAAATTGCAGGAGTGGCTCACTGCTCCTCCCCAGCTGCTTTCAGTTACTCCTGGACAGAACCTACTAGACCCTCCCTTTCTTCTCACCTGGCTGTTTCTTCCTCATCTTTCAGGGCCAAGTGAAACGTCCCTGCCTCCAGGAAGCCCGCCAGCCCTGGGTTAGTCTGGGTTGAGGTCAGGCCACTTTGCACTCCCAGGAACCTCATGCCCCAATGTAGCTCCTGTCGCACTGTGCTAATTGTGGGTTACTTGTCTTTCCCCAAGAAATGGTGAGCTCAGGATGGGCAGCCTGTGGGCCTTGTTTGTCCCTGTGTCCCCAGCACCCCATTCCAGGCTAGGAGTACTCACAAAACACTTGCCAAATCAGTGAATGAATGAATGAGTGGACGAATGAATGACTGAGTTATCAAGGTATTCCTTAGCATGAGTTTAAACCTCGGAAAACAGTAGTCAAGGGCCTGAGCGGGGCCATATCCACCCCTGCCTGTCTACCTGCAGGCCAAGGTGGCCCACAAGGAACCACCAAACCCCAGAGGAAAGGAGACAGGCCCCAGCTTAAGAGGGGGAGCCAGGCTAGGACTGGCCCAAGTGAGCTATTTTCCCTATAAGGCCTGTGGCATTCCAGGGGCGGGGACAGGACATGATTAAGCAGTGCAAGCAACAGGGTGTCAGAGGGTCTCCTTCCTGGGGACAGTGTGCCTGCCTGCCGTCAACTCCTTTCCTGAGAAGTGACCTCAGCCAACAGGCACCACCTAACAGGCATGCTGGGGGTGAGGCACTGGGGGTGGGGGACAGAACAGGGAACCAGGTTGGAAGCTAGCCATCCCCTCCACCTGGTAGGAGGGCCCATCAAGCCCCGTGCCCTCAACAGCTCCCGGCCAGAGCAGGACAGAGCAGGCGTTCCAAAGGCTTGTGGGATGACCACATCTGACCCAACTCCAGGGGCAGTCTGGCCCCACACTGTGCTCTGAGAGAGCCACCTGGTCCCCCTTACACATAGTAAAGAAAGGTTGGGGTTTTGGGTGTTCTCCAAACATGGCTTCTCCCTAGGAGTCCAATCTTCCTGATCAATGGGTGGGCCCCAGGCTCTGGGGGCAAATTCCCCAGAGTGAAGCAACCCGGCATCTGACCTCCCTCATTCACTCTCCCACATACACACCGTTTTGATTTGGGGGAGGGGAACAGGATTTGTCACCATCTCTGATATATGGAGGACACAGGTTGGTCTGCAGTCAGGGGAGTCAGTTGGGGAAGGGAAGGGGGCTTCTAAGTGGTCTGAGGTCTGGCGTGCCTGGACTCTCCAATCTGAGTGACACTGGAGAAGGCGTGTCCGTTCCTGGGCAGGGGCATTTCAAGGGCTGTCTGCCTCCGTGTCTGGGGCTGCTGGAGGGCTGTGCCCTGCACAGGCTGACACGGAGCAGGTGCTCTCTAACCGAC